TAGATCATTACCTATATCGTGAGATGCAGGCCCGGGCAAAAGGGACGTCAGTACATTTGAATTGCACCGATATGTAAAGCAATTGAAAGAAAGAACTATAAATGCTGAAACTGAAACTAAGCTGATAACTGAGAATTGATAATTGATAACTGAAATGATAACTACCGAAACTGAAACTGAAATGTTAACTGATAACTAACAACTGAACAGAACATAGGAAGTAAGGATATGAATACCCCATCTTCTGAATGATGAACCGCTTGTTTATCTAAATAAATAGACTGCGGCCTAAGGCCCAATATATATGTGCACAAACTGCGGCCTCGGGCCCAAGTATACATATACATAACTGCGGCCTCAGGCCCAATGATGCATAAAGCATAAACTGCGGCCTCAGTCCCAAAGATGCATAGAGCATAAACTCCGGACTCAGGCCCAAATACAAGTGTTCAACATTCAGGGATTTAAAATCAGGAACTGAGAATCATACTGCAATACATGATAGTGAAATACTGAATCACACTAAGTTACATGATACTGGAATACTGGATCACACTAAGTTACATAATACTGGAATACTGAATAGGACTAGACTGAGACATATATTCTTGAACTGATTATGAACACTGAAGCTTCAATTGTTTATGACATACTGAGTAATCTATACTAAGACTCGGGGGAATCAAACCCAAGTCTATATTGAATACGCACTGAGCTTACAACGTTCAGAATGAAGGTCATGAACTAGCTATGAAGCTAGAGAATAGAAGTTTTACAACTATTCAAGGAACTAGGCTAAACTCTATTTTTGAGGCAATTAGTAACGTCGTAAAAGAAACGTAGTGTAGGGAGAATCATTAACATCCCCAAACATTGAGAGTTAACCTCACATACCTTAACTTCCAGCTCTTGCGCGTAATACAACGTTTGTCAACCGTTTCAACTTTAATCTATAGCAATACAAGTCAAAGGGATTTCATATTAGCTATGATACTTATGTTTTGGTCACTTAAGCATTTTATCAAACACTTGGTGAGAATAAAGCTTCATAATCCTTATTAATGGTGTTTCTACACCCAATAACCTATTCTCTTGCTCCTAGATAAATTCTAAAGTCTCAAATGGTTATAATCAACATCATTCTTCATCACCCATAAGGTAAACAATACCCTTAACCAATAGTCAACAATCAACAACCCAAACATATAATCCGTTCATGCTTTTCTATCAAACCCATCAACTCATATCTCATGAATTAGAGTCTATAATCATTAATCCAATGGTATAATCAATTACAGGGTGAAGACATTACCTTTTTGAAGTTCAATCCTCTTGAATTCGAGTTCTAGGACTTCTTCTCTCAACAATGATGTCACAATCAAATATCTAATGATATGGAGGGTTTACTCATGTTAATAAGATGTTGGAAAATTAAAATTAACTAAGAATCACCATTAGGACTTACCTTGGATGGTGGAGGGACCTTTGAGGAGTTAGGTTTTTGAGAGCTTCCCTTTTTAGAGCAAGTTTTTATGCTTTGGGGGTGTGGGGGACGAAGTAGGGCTTTAAAATGACTCCCCAAGTGCGGCCCTCATGCACCTGAAGGCATGATTGCGCACCTGACCGCGCAAAATGGCAGTAGCACTGCCACAAGTGCGCGGCTGTGCACGTGACCCTCTAGGCGCGCACCTGGCACGCATATTGCGCACTGCTCTGTAAAACACGCATAATATTTTGCACAGAGATCCGTTTGGACTCCACAATATATCGTTGGAAATCTATTTCAATGGACTAAAACTTTTGTGTTTTGAATTTTTGCCAAATTCCTTAAGTATTTTCACTAAATCTTGCTAGAAGAGGACCTTTTGTAAACTTAGTAGATTTTATCGAATCTTATGCACCCCACTCTCCGTCTTGATTCCAAAACGACTATTTTCACCTATACTCATCCTGCTAGGACTTCATATGTCTTAAATATCAAATTGATACTCATTTAATATATTTACACCTAGTCCGAATGTATGGGGTGTTAAACAAGTAACAACTAATTTAACAAGAATGCAAATGGTTATGATGAGATTTTAATTTAGAGGAGATGAAGATTCTAGGGTTGTGGTTGGTTTGTCTATCCTATTAAGTTCGATAATCACACTCGTTAATCCATATTATCTATGGGTTCTAATTAACCGGATCCTTTATATGAATAGCATGTTTTCACAATACTACTCGCCTGTCTACAATATATTAATCCTATGTTCCTATGGTATTGAGTCTATCATGAACGAATATAATACGATATTCAACTAAGCAAGACAGTTATGTATATTCCTATCCTAACCGCGAAACTCTTTTCCTGAGCCACAGGTTCAGAAACAAGTTCTCTTTAATTCTACTCTAATCTAAACATGGCTTTCCAAGCATAGGATAGATAGTAGGGTGGATTGGTAGGTACAACAATTCATAAGTTAAAACTAGAATTAAAGAAACAACCACAAGATGATAATCCGAATTAATGAAGATGTAATTAATAAACGTTAATAATCATGTCAACCACAACCCTAGAAACTAGAGTGCTTAACCACTAATGTTCGTAGCAACAATTTTCCAAGTATTTTGCATAAATAAATTACAAATAAAAGATAAAGGAACGTAGAACTCGATGATTTTCTCCTCCAAAGAATGCTCCCAACGTCTTCTCCCTTCCGAAATAGTCTCTTTAGGTCTAATGTGTGACAAAAATCCTCCAAATAACGTTTTTACATGTATTTATACTAAGTAGGGTCGGGCCCAGACGAAGACACTTTTTCCTGCGAAATAGGATTCCGACTCTATAAAAATTAAACAGACGCGCCGCATGGGGCGACGCGGCAGGCGAGGCATCTGTGGGGAACTTCAGAGAGCGGGCAAATTGAGGGCAGCAGCCTTTTACACAGCCGCGACACACCACGCGCCGCCCCACGTGCCGCGATTGTGTCTTTTTCTTAGAGTACGGATTTTTCTTGATTTTTTGATATCCAGATGTGGTTCTCGACCCCCGAACGCGATCCCGGTTTAATCCCTTGGGCTTTTACTCAAACTTCAAACTTCAAATAGCTCTAATTCGTTCTATAACATCTACCTAGCTCGGAATCACTCCTACAAGACATAAAACACGCAATTCGCGCAAAACACTAGCGATTAATACTCAAACTCAATTAAAGTATAGTTATTAGAGTGCGATAAGCGATTAAAATTCTTAATTATAGCCTACCATCACCGTTACCTTAATTATTAAGTCTTGAATTAATAGTTTTACTTTAATTCATTTATAGTATTTATTTTGAGAATTAGTTACCCTCTTTAGAGGAAAACGTAAATCCACTAGCATGTCATAGTATATTTGATCTCATAAAGAATTTCCATCAGTTCGATCTTCATTTCAAGACCACTGCAAAGAAGGAAAGCTGCCAAATTATGTTGTGATTGAACAAAGATACTTTGACTTAAAAATCTTGCCGGAAATGATGATCACCCTTCTCATGATGTATTTGAAGGCCAAAAATTTGTGAAACAAGTCTACGAGTCATTATGATCAAGCCCTCAATGGAATGAAATATTGTTCATTATAATATATGATGAACACGGTGGTTTCTTTGACCATGTTCCGACTCCGGTCACCGGCGTTCCTAGCCCTGATGGAATAATTGGTCCTGAACCTTATAAATTTCAGTTTAATCGCCTTGGTGTTAGGGTTCCGGCCATCTTGATTTTACCGTGGATCGAACAAGGAACGGGTACTAAGTTATTCAGTAAGATTGTATTACACAAGCCATCAGGACCATACGCTACTTCTTAATTTGAGCATTCTTCAATTCCTGCAAGCAACTGTTAAGAAGATTTTCAAGTTGAGTGAGTTTCTAACTTGTTTACCCGTAAAACGATACAATTGAATTTATGCGTGGTTTCTAGACAAGTAAATTATTTTGATCTTAAAATAATAAAATAATCGAAGAATTATGCGATACTTAGCCTTAAAATGTAGACGAAACGACAGAAGCAACAGTTCCTGGAACAAGGTTTCCGGGCACAATAATAATGAAATCAAAAATTGAGAAAGTAAGATTGTATTAAAATTCATATCCTTTACAATAGTAGCTGAGCTCATTATTTATAGCTACGTCTAGGGAAGGAGGTCCTAGGATCATGCCCCTCTTTAGTGTCAATTATGAGGGCAATTGATGAAGATGTAACAGTGAGCATAAATGCCAAATTTCTTGTAACGGGCAATCGTATTTAATACCATGAAATATTCCCTATTAAATTCTATCGGGTGAGGAATATTTATTACATCCATATGAGTGTTATTCTCTTCGGTGACCGACGGAATAGTTGCCTTCCACTACTAGAAATCAGGTGATTTCCGTCCATAATTTCCGACCAAATTCCGATCGATTTTATTTGGACGGAAAAATAATGGTCGCAAACGTGGACCGACCGCAATTGGTCGAAAAAAATCGATCGGAAAATTCAATCGTTGACTAACTGTCAAACTTTATTTTCCAACCGAAATCGGTTGAAAAATATTTTTTTTTTAAATTTTAGTTTTCTGACCGAATTCGGTCGGAAATTTTAAAATAATAATAATATTATTTAATTAAATAATTGTTTGTAAATGTTAATTTATTTAAAAAATAAATATAATTTCATAATTTCCAACCGAATTTGGTCGGAAATTTCAATAATCTGGAGAATATATTTGAAATTTCCGATGAATTTCGGTCGGAAAATTATGCATTTCTGGGAAAAATATTTAATTCGGTTGGAAATCTGGGTAAAAACTGGGCAGAAAATGGCTGTTTTTAAGCTACACCACCTGCCAATTTAAACCAATATACATCCTATAATGGCAGCTTACATTGTTACCATTCAACCATGAAAATCCAACAAAATAACAATTAATAACCACCAACAACAACAATTAACCAACAACTAATAAGCACAACAACTACTAAAATGTTCAATAACAAAATAAGAATATAATCATCATTCAAATAACCAACAACAACAAAATATTGACAGTTCAAAACTCTGTTTAACAATACACAACATTCAATGAGTTTTTTATGTAGCATCATCTCTATCTTCAGTCTTAGGACCTTCATCGTCGGCACGTGGGAAAGGAGGAGGAGACCGGGAATAGAGAAAGCACCACTAGCAAGAAGATTGGCCGGCTGACCTTGAAGGAGATCAAATTGTTTGGTCCTCCTTTCTAGCTGAGTTTGAAGGGTATCAAATTGTTCGTCCCTCTTTTCTAGCTGAACTTGAAGGGTATCAACTCTCTTCTTTTCTCTAGCCTTGGTCTCTTCAAGCTTTGCTGTCAGCTTTGCGATCTTCTTTCCATACACGATATAGTCGAACTATCAATCGCCTCGCCTTGGGCGGAAGTCCCTATACCTTGCAATCCAGCCTAGTAGCGCCGAAATGATTTATCCGAAAGGCCATATGTTATCCCCTTTTTAGGACCACCGACAGTATCCAACCATATCCTCTCCTCTCTTCGTCCGAAATGGGTGGTCGTTCGCCTTGCTCATTCGGTGGCAAGCTCTGAGTGTACTCCTCCAAATTGATCTTGTAGCGGCCCTTTATTTAGAAGATATAAAATTACTAACTATATAATATTATAAACATTTATAGTAGTTATGAAACTTACATGTATAGTCTCTATCCGGTCCTCAACCCATCTAGTTGGATCTGTCGGTGCCTTCTTCTTCCGGAGGTTGTTCAACACTTTCGTGGGTTTCAGAATCGAAGTGCATCCCTAGAGAATCTGCAACCATTTCATGGTATTTCAGATGTTGAACGTTATTCCCCACCAACCTACTACTTTCACCAACAACTACATTATGAAATACACCATCAATACTATCAATCTCTCCATGACTAGTCCACACAAAACCATAAACCCTTTTTTATAAAGATGAGTCTTAACATCCACCGGTCCAAAATAATGCAAACACTTACACTTCACACAAGGACACCTAATCAACCGTCCAATCCGAAACGGTTCAAGTGACATTGCATGCGTAATAAATTTCTCAACCCCTTCTATAAATTCCTCCCTAAAAAACCGACGATTAGGATAATTCCTATTATACATCCAACTACGATATTCCATCTACATAAAGAACGAATAAATTACATGTTATATTGATCATAATTCAAATTAATAGTGCAGACAAACACTTTATTTGGTTGGAATAGTATATGTCTTTCAACAAAACAATGATAGTTGACACTTGTTAATTAACTGTTCAAATTAATCTTTCACATAGGGCTTTCCCTGCAAATAAGTTCTCAAGGTCCAGCTGTGTCTATTAAAATTTTTATTGGGGAAAAAGATGAGCTAATGTTAGTGCCAAAGTAAATCTCTGAAAGATGGCTTTAGACAGTTAAAATATGGTTAATAGCTAAGAGTTGTTTTTACAAGAGAAGTAAATAATTGTTTTTTCATTTACAGAAACAAGTGTTAAAAATTGAGTAATATAAATGGGCAAACAAGGAGTCATGATTAAGCCTAGTTGCAAAGTGCAGATACTAGTGTATAACAATACTAATTACACTAACAATTAGCAACTGTTATATACCTTGTTTGGGGGAAAATGTACCAATTTGGTTTAACAAACAAAACAACAAATAAAATTATTAATTTAAATACAAAAATTTAATTCTTGAACTTTATGACAATATGTTATTGATGGAACAGGGTAAAAAACTATTGCAACAGTATCTTACAAAGCAGTCAGAAAAAAAAAAATAGCAAACACATTCGATCAGCTAAATTCTACTCTCAAGTAAATAGAGCAAAATATACTAACTGTTAAAAAAGATGGGATTCTTGATGTGTACTTACTTGATCAACTGTAAGAGGCAAGGTGGTTTGTTGAAGGAGGTGGGGTTGTTGAAGCCAAGATTCAATGATTTGCTGAGAGAAAGGGTCAAGTCCAAGACCAACACCAACACCAAGTTTTGGGTTGAACCCGGCGATGGGTGGTCTGAGGAAGCTTTCAAATCCGGCGAGGGTGAAAGAGAAAGAGACCGGCGTGAGAAAGCCACCGAGTTCAGAGCTCCTTCAGAGATTCGACACGATTTTGAGTTACAGCATGTTTGGAAATCCACTTTGGAAATGGATTTAGGTGTAATTGAGCATAATTACATAGTTTGACGTATTTGTTTGGTAAGTAATTACTTGGTCAACATAAAATTGAGTGTAATTGGAGGAGTGTAATTAGGCTATCCAATTCTCAAGGCAGAGGTTGCTTTTAGTTTCTTTCCTTTTTGTTTTTATTTTAATTTATTTTCTTTATAACTTTTTATTTCTATTATTTTAATTTTTTAATTTTATTTTTACTTTTTGATTTCTTTTAAAATTTTAAAATATATTTTTCTTTGTACATTATATATCTTTTATTTCTCTATCTTTACTTCTTGTGATTCCATGTAATTGCTTATATTTTATTTTTTATTTTTTGAAACTACACCTCCTAATATTAAAAATAATGAGTCATGAACAAACTTGGCATATAATGAGTGATGCAATTAAAATGGAATTTCGTTGTTGAATGTGGTTATAAACTTATCATGTTTCCTAATCTTAAGTTGCAGTGGAATTACTATTGTTATGTCAGAATTTAACATATGTTAAACTATTTTTTTTTTTGAATTTTGAAATTGTATTATATTCATGGTTCCAATTTACTTGTTTTAGTAGTATTGGCTCACATTGCATATTGTTCATTTTTAGTTAGAATTAATAGATTAGTTTTGTGAAATATTTGAATAATGTTATGATATTATATTTATAAATATTAATTTATTTTATCAAACATAAATTCCATGACGTTCTTACAAAACGTATATTTTTAATTTTTTAAGTATCTAAACTAAATATTATTAATTTAAAAAATATATATAAATTATTTTTACAATATTAGTTATAAATATATGATTACTAAATTAATGTATATTCACTAAAAAATATACATCTTAAATACTTGTGACGACCCGGTCAACCGTCTCATGAGTTACCGCTCCATTTTCCCTATTCCTACTTTGTTATGCTTTATTTATCCGTGTTATGTGGTATCGAGTTGGTCGGATCGAATCCGGAATGATTTTGGTAAGGTTTGAGACACTTAGTCTCTTTTAAGGAAGTTTAAGTTGGAAAAGTCAACCAGATGTTGACTTATGTGTTAGAGGGCTCGGATGTGAGTTCCGGGGATTTGATTAGCTTCGGGAGGTGATTTGTGGCTTATGAGTGTGATTGGAATAAGTTTTGGAGGTTCGGAGTAGATTTAGGCTTGATTGGCGAAGTTGATATTTTGGTGATTTTCGGTTGGTAGGAGAGATTTTGATATAGGGGTCGAAATGGGATTCCGAGAGTTGCAATAGTTATGTTGTGTCATTTGGGATGTGTGTGCAAAATTTCAGGTCATTCGGACATGGTTTGGTTGAGTTTTTTATCAAAAGCAAAATTCGGAAGATTTTAGAAAGTTTGGCTTGAATCCGATGTGTTTTGGGTGATTTGATGTTGTTTAAGGTGTTTTGATGATTGGAACAAGTTTGAATAAAGTATTAGGATATGTTTGTGCTTTTGGTTGAGGTCCTGGGGGTCTCGGGGTGATTTCAGATGGTTGACGGAAAGGTTTGAGACTTGTGAAGTTGCAGAATCTCAGCTGCTTCTGGTATTTCCGCACCTGCGGATTGGGGACTGCAGGTGCGACGCCGCACGTGCGGAAGAAGAGCTGCAGAAGCGGATTTTGGAGGAATCGTCAGGAACCGCAGATGCGGTAGTGTGACCGCACCTACGAAGGCGCGGGTGTGGAGAGTTGACCGCAGATGCGGATTGGGCCTTTTAAGTGAAGAACCGCAGAAGCGGTAATTTGGCCGCATATGCGGTACCACAGAAGCAGGTATTGGTCGTAGATGCGAAAAGTTCTGGGCAGAAAGTATAAATTGTGGTCTTCGTGAATTTTGAGTTATTTCACCATTTTTATCTCGACTTTGGAGCTTTTTGGACGATTTGAGAGAGGGATTTCAAGGGAACTTCATTGAGCTAAGGAATTTGGACCTGAAACTCATTCCTATGCTATTATTTCACGTATTAGAGCTAGAAATTATGGAAATTAAGGGTGAAAATTGGGGAAACTAGGGCTTGAAAACTTAGACTTTTAATTGAGGATTTGAAGGATCATTTGGGGTCGGATTTGAGAATTTTTAATATGTATGAACTAGTGGGGAGATAAAGAATCTATTGATGTAAAAATTATCGAATTCCGAGACGTGGGCCCAGGGGTCGGGTTTTGGTAATTTCGGGTTTTGGTAATTTCGGGATTTGTGTCGTATTTTGATTATTTTCACTTGGGCTTCGTTCCTTTAGCATATTTTGACGTCCTCATTCTGATTTTGGATAGATTCGACGCGAGTGGAGGCCCATTCGAGGGGCAAAGGCATCGCGAGCTCGAGATTTGACCGGTTCGAGGTGAGTAATGATTGTAAATGATGTTCCGAGAGTTTGAAACCCCGGATTTGCTCATTGTAGTGCTATATTGAGGTGAGGCACACGCTTGATGACGAACTTGGGGTCGTGCACTATTGGGGATCATGACTTGGTCCATCCCGATTGATGATTTTACCGCATATTTGACTGAAATCTATTTGTTATTATCATTATTTGGGCTGATTACCATATTTGGGCCTTGTGCCAACTATTTGTACCCTTCGGAGATTTTTATTGGTATTTGCTCACTGTTTTGACTTTATACTTAAACTCAGTCATGTTATATTTTACTGTTTTTCGTACTCAGCCAGGTTTACTCTGTTTTAACACTTATATGATCTTTCAAATATTTTAGGCTGAGAAACATGTTTTACTATTGCCCGAGTGGCTTGTGAGGATTTTGACTGAGTAAGGCCGATGACCTATATTGTGAGAAAACATTTGATACTGATTATGAGGCCGAGGGCCTGAGATATGTACGCCACGAGGTGACTTGATTGATATGAGGCCGAGAGCCTAGTGATGACGCCACGAGATGACTTGATATTGCTTGGGCCGTAAGGGGCCCCTCCAGGAGTCTGTACACCCCCAGTGAGCACGAGTACCCATTGTGATGTGAGATTGATCCCGAGGGGCTGATATTGTTCTATGTGATTGCCCGAGGGGCTGGTACTGCTCTGAGATGTTGCCCGAGGGGCGAATTTGTTGATACTGTGCCCGAAGAGCGAGCCTTTATGTGTTTGCTTTTCATAATTAATTGACTATCAATTATCTGCTTAATTATTGAAAAAAAAGCTTTTCATGAAACTACATTTGAGTTAAAAGATTTTACTTATCTTTCACTGGTTTACTGTTTTAATTATTTTACTACTTCATTATAGAATGCTTTGTGCCTTACATGATTTCTTGCTTTCAGTCTTTATTTACATTTGTTACTCACCGAGTTTGAGTACTCACTTTACTCCTTGCACCCCTGTGTGCAGATTCAGGCATTGTTGATCCTGCCAGTGCGAGTTAAGAGCTCCCGGCGGACATTCGGAGTTCATGAGGTAGCTGATTGACGTCCGCAGCCCCGTGTTTCTCCCTCTTTATCATTTCTATCTCTCTTCAGACAATTGTAATAGTTTTGTAGATTTTTCAGACTTGTATTAGGTTTTATAGATGCTCATGAGNCGAACCTTTATGTGTTTACTTTTTATAATTGACGGTGTTACCTGCTTAATTATTGAAAAAAGGATTTTCATGAAACTACGTTTGAGTTAAAGAATTTTACCTATCTTTCACTGGTTTACTGTTTTAATTATTTTACTACTTCATTATATAATGCTTTGTGCCTTACGTGATTTCTTGCTTTCAGTCTTTATTTACATTTATTACTCACTGAGTTGGAGTACTCACTTTACTCCCTACACCCCTGTGTGTAGATTCAGGCATTGCGGATCCTGCTAGTGCGAATTGAGAGCTCTCGACAGATATCAGAGTCCACGAGGTAGCTGCTTGACGTCCGCAGTCCCGTGTTTCTCCTCCTTTATCATTTCTATCTCTTTTCAGATATTTGTACTAGCTTATAGACTTAGCAGACTTATATTATGACTTATAGATGCTCATGACTAGTGACACCCCGGTTTAGGGTTGTGTTGGGTTGTCCTTCCGCATATTATGATATTACCTGCTACTTAGTATTATTAAATCATGTTTTAGACTATTTTCTTGCTGTTTAACCGATTAACCTCGAATTGGGAATAGTTGGCTGGCCTTGTCTTCACGAGAGGCGCTATCACGACCGGATTCGGGTTTAGGGTCGTGATAATACCAAATATAATATCATTTATACTTATAAAAATTTATAGGCATATATTTATTATATTAACTTTTAAGTTTTGATAATTACTTAATTTAAAATTTAATCTAACTGTGTAATTACACTTGTGCAACCAAACAGTAAATATGTAATTACACTATGACAAACAAACAAGTCATCGTAATTACACAACTGTGTAACTACCAGGTTGTGTAATTACTACCCTTGTAATTACAACAATTCCAATTTCAGAGTGGAAAAGAGGGTTTTCGGATTGGGCATTAGGGTTCTCTTGTTGTGCGGCATTGTTAGGTTTTTTGTTGAGAGAAGATTTGCAGAAACGGGTCGGGTGTTTTGTTATTGTGAAGATTTGCTGCATGTTATTATTATCAATTACTAATTGAAAAGAAAAAGAAACGAGGGAAGGAAAAGATTTCAAGAAAAAGGACAAAAGTTATGTCTACTTTTGTAAGAATTATATTTCTTTATCATGTCTTTGCTTTTATATAGATTTCGTATGTGCGATTTTGGCTTTTAGGTTTAAAAAAAGTTCCCTTATATATATTTATGTGTAATATTATGTACATAATATTAAATTGATTTACAAAAACCTAACATATAATTCTTCATACTGTATAATTTATGTGTAATTATTCTAATATTATGCGGGCGAGCGTGTGCGCGCACACACACATATATATACACACACACTAATGCACTTCTACTTAGTGTAGTTATCATTTTATAAATTAATCAATGAGTAATATTTCTTAAGAATACTGCTAATATACTTCTACTTAGTAGAATTTTCAGTGTATAGACTAATCAATCACTAATTTTTCTTACTGGTATTACTAATACACTTCTACTTAGTATAATTTTCAATGTATAAGCTAATCA